CTCGTGTGCGTGCATATTTACGTATACATATTCTTATTTACGTTACTGGTTCCACGTTGTGTTGCATTGAAATTTGCACTGCATCTCACGCGCTGGATTCATGAAAGCTTTCTCGAGACGCAATAGTATCTTTTTACTTTCTCTCTCTGGCAGGCACGAGAGCAGTAAAAAAAAAAAAGCAAATTGTTAAAAGGTGGCAGAGAAAGCTCGTCTTATGCTTACACAAAAGATGTAAGAGTTAAGCAACGTGGAACTGCCACAGCGGTGGCTTTGTGTCCAAGGATACTTGTTCCTTTAGGAAACATATTTATTTATGAGGGGATTCAAGAACATGTATTCCAGTCGAATACTTTCACACATATCCATACATATATATGTATGTCTGAATGGTTCTGTCAGGATTTGTTTATGTATGTATGTATATATGTATTTTGTGTGTGTGTGTGTGCGTGCGTGTGTGCGTGTGTGTGCGTGTGTGCGTGCGTGTGTGTGTGTGTGTGTGTGTGTGTGTGTGTGTGTATGTGTATGTGTGTGTGTGTGTGCAGTGCGTATATATGTGCATGTTATTATATATGTATGTATGTAAATGTGACAACATAGATGGCAATTTACGTTCCGTACAGAATCCTTATTCAAAGGTTATCTGTCTTCTAATCAACATTTCTTTGTTCATGGAGATTGCTGAATATAAAATTGAAGGATTACAAGACGTTGTTATGAAAAATATCCTAGAGTAAAGAGCACTCCGACTTTCCTTTTTTGGAGGTGAACGAAAATACAATTTGAGCGGCTGCGAACTTACTCACTGGGTTGCGCGTTTGATCCCCGAATATGTACTCCTTTCATCTGCGATGTTCGGTTTTTGAGGGCATTTGCAGGAGCTCTCTACATGCATCCACGTGCGCAAGGGGCACAACAATCAGCTTCATCATTCCTTTTTCTATCCCGATACTCTGTGCATTGAACGGCAGCCGACTGGGGCATACTTCGGTAAGTTGAAAAGTTCAAGAAAAATAGAGAGTAAGAAAATTCCTTGGGCCACGTTCAGCGAATCTCCTCGATCGTTGGGACCGTTACGTACCTCGGCGGTCTGAAAGTATGTGTACGATAACTTTACAGATAGAAGGCCACCAGGGCAGTACGCAAGTATTTAGAAATAAATAACAGGGTAGTAACGCTTCTGCCTCTCTTCCGAGGGGGCGGCGGTTCGCGTCTCGCCCCAGGCACGAGAAGTTGCAATTTTCCCTTGGAGGTTACTAGTGTGGCTGGGCACCACGGCAGGTAGAGGACTAAGGGGCGTGTTAAAAAAAAAAAAAAAAAAAAAAAAAGTTTATTTATTTCCAAATCCATTCTGTGTCTGCAATATTATTCAGTTGGCCAAACTATTTGATTTTAGATTTTTTGCCTTTAAATAAGGTCTCTCAATTTCTTGTGGATAAGCTTTCCTTATTCATACCTTTGGTGATATGTACGCCAAAGTGAACAAATTCAAATGTCCCGCGTCGTTCAAAGCTAGCAGTGTTTAATTTGGTGGAAACAAGCTAAGAATCCCCTCCCGTAACTGTTATTCCGTGCTAAGCTCGGGTTACTTTCGTTAACGCTTGGCGAAGCGTCGTTAGGCGATCGCCAGCCCTTTCCCGAAACTTTTTTGGTGCGGCCTTATGCTCTGTCGAGTCTGCACCAGCTGGCACACGCTGATCGAGTCGGCATTCGTCGGCACAGGCCGGGCTCCCTTCATAGGCATAGCCCGAGCTTCGCATATCATCCTTACAGTATAGAGCTATAGCAGTCTATTATATAGATGTCTTCATCCAAACCCAAAAAAAAAAACACAAGCCAGGGCCGGAAAATGTTAGCATATGATTTACATTATAATGGAAATTGCACATAGCCTATTTAACACAGTGTATATTATTTAATGATTAAATGAATAAAGCAATATTTTCTTATGGATCTGTCAGAAATTTCAAGTGATAATATTTTTCAACAGGCAAACAGACAAAAACGAACTTCCTTCAAAGAAAAATCTCATGTCCTGTACATTAAATGAATAAAGCAATATTTTGTTATGGCTCTGTCAGTAACTTCAAGGGAAACATTTTCAACAGGCAAACAGCAAAAAAGTAAATGTCCTTTAAAAACAAACTGTTTCTTAATATTAAGATAAATGCATAAATAAAAGTGCAGGCATTATCAACTAAAAATGCATTATTGTGCTATGATCCTACTGATCACTGCTTTCAAATAGTAAAATGAGAAAATAAAAAAAAATAAATCAAATCAGTTGTATTCTTCCTCATGGCTCTTATCTGCAATTTTCCCTGAGTCCATTCAACTGAAAAATAAATATAAATAAAAAAAATACAATAAAATAAAATACAAAAATCTATGGCACACAGACAAAACAATACTTCCTTCAAAGAAAAATCACGTCTTGTAGAAACAAATGTAAAAATTTAACTGAATTAAAAACTGAAAATACGTGACTGCTCTGTGATGCTCACTTGTCTGAGGCTGAGCCTGATACTTGGTGGTGTCTCATCTTTTGTACAAGTTCATCAATGTTCGGGGTTAGGCTCTGAGCTGAGGAAATCCTCAGGATTGAGTGGAGGCGATTATCAGTCAGACGGCTCCTGTGTGATGTTTTGTTGAGCTTCATCAGAGAGAACAGTTGTTCACACAGGTATGTGCTGCCAAACATAGAGAGCGTCCGAGCAGCTTGGATGCGCAACTGCGGCATTGTGTCGGGGATGAAATGTGCAAACTCCTCAGCACCCACTCTCTCATATTTTGCCTTCAGTGTGTCATTGCACTGGAGCTCAATCAACTCCATTTGCAGATTTGGTGGTGCGCTTTCTACATCCACTGCAAAAGGATTGCTGAGCAGTTCAAACCTGCTTTTTTGGGGCTTCAAAGTCTGCAAATCGGCGTCGGAAGTCGGCGGCAAGTATGCTAATTTTATAAGCAAACTGTGCACTCGGGAACACTGCAGTAGAGAGCTTCTCTTTCATGGTCTGGCAGTTGGAAAAGTGGCTTAAGTTTTCTTTCCGCATCTGCGTCTCCCACAGACTCAGCTTGGTTTTAAAGGCTTTCACTGTACTGTACATATCAGAGATGACACGTCCCCGTCCCTGCAGCTGCAGATTCATCACATTCAGATGGCTCGTGATGTCGCAGAGAAACGCCATTTCACACAGGAAAGTTTCATCTCGGAGCTCTGTTGTGTCTTTCCCCTTGCTTTCCACGAACAGACAGATCTCCTCACGCAAAACATCTTTGCCTTTCCCTGGCTTAGCCATCGCACCTCTGTGTGATACGGCAAGTCACCATACTCTGTATCTAACTCGCCCAGAAATGCCTTGAACTGGCGGTGATTTAAACCTTTGGCTCTGATGAAGTTAACTGCTCGTGTTATGGTGCTCATTACATGTTCCATTTTCAAGGCTTTGCCACACAACGACTCCTGGTGTATGATGCAGAGATAAACTGTCAACTCATATGTGACGTTTTCCTCCAGCATCCTCTCACGCATCCTTGCCACCAATCCACTCCTGTGCCCACACAGTGCGGGTGCTCTGTCTGTGGTTAATCCCACGAGTTTTTCCCAAGGCAGCCCCATCTCATTTACACATCTGGATACCTCTTCATACAGATCTTGTCCTGTAGTTGTGCCATGCATAGGACGTAATGCCAAAACCTTCTTTATGGCTGGAGTCTACACGGACGAAAATTGACAGCTGGGCAATGTCAGATGTGTCCGTGCTCTCATCCACAGCAAGAGAATATGCGATGAAATCTTTTCCCTTTCTCACAAGCTGTTCTTTTATGTTGGTGGAAAGCTGGTCTACACGTTCAGCAACGGTGTTTTTGCTTAGGCTCACGTTTGAGAAGAGTTGCCTTTTGTCTGGGCACACTGCGTCACAAACTTCAAGAATACAGTTTTTGATAAACTCTCCTGTAAAGGGCCGGGCTGATTTTGCGACCTCTTTTGCCACAATAAAGCTAGCCTTGACAGCAGCCTCGCTTTGTGATTTGGCATATGTGAACATAGCCTGCCTGGACTTAAGGCCTCGCATTAATTCTTCCACCTTCTGTAGCCTTTGTTCCGTGTCCATATTCTTGTCTTTGTCTGAGTTTCTGAGATGTTTGATAGTGCCTCCTAAGATTATATTCTTTCATTACAGCCAAACTTTCTCCACACAGAAGACACACAGGTTTGCCTTTTACCTCCGTGAACATGTACTCTGCCTCCCACCTACCTTGAAACCCCCTGTTCTCAGCGTCCACCTTACGTTTGGCCATTTTTGAGGAGGGGGTAGCTGAAAGTTGATCTCTGCTCTGACTGCTGATGAATAATGAAGCCGCTTGTGCGCGCTGCAGCGACTTCGCGGGCTACCGTTGCATTGTGGGGAATGTAGTGTTGGTGCGTGCAAAACACTAGCGGGCGGCTGTGGCCTGCGGGCCGGTTCTAATAGTAATTAAATCTCATCCAGGGGGCCATACATAATTAATTCGCGGGCCGGATCTGGCCTTGACTTTGACATATGTGATATAGATAAAATATTTACATAGCACTTTAAGCAGCTTTCTTGTACCATAGCAGTACCCAGTTATATCTCCAAAGAGGGTAGAGATAAGAACAAAGTTGATGTCGTTAGCTGAAACTGACCGACATATTCCCTAAATTGAGGACCACGATAAGAAACTTGCAAATTAATATATTGCAATACATCATTTTGAAATGTTTGTACACATATATTTTTGTACATAAAAAAAAAAAAAAAATTACTATAGTATCTACGAAGAATGGGCCACATTCTCCACTGTTGCGATATAATAAATTTTCCATTATTTTTCTTTCCTTTTCATCAAATTCTTCATGGATCACCTTTGTTCACATCCAGTAGATGTCCAACACTATGGAATGACGTTTACTATTCGTAATTATTGATGCCGGTGCTAACACCTGGTTTTCTCTCATTGTGTGTTCACCATATATA